AGGGATTTAAAAAAACCTATTTCCTCAACTAATATAAATATAAGAAGCCCACCTCCATCATTTACCCAGTACCAAGGGGAAGAATTGAAAGATAACATTGAACAAAAGAGTAACCAAGAAGAATTTGATCCAGAATCTGAATTATCTAGAGGTAATCCAATCCAAAATTTGGGAGATCACGAAGTACCTTATAAAGATCCATTTCTTATAAAATTTAAGGATGATATTAATATGAAAATTGAGAAAATCACTAGAAGAATATTGAATCTAAAAAGATATATGAGGAATAAGAATATAAATCAATCTGAAGAGGAAGAGCTGAAAGAAAAAATTAAATTTGAGGACTTTATAGGAATCCCTGGATCTGGAAAAGATTGGGTGATTGATTGGAAAAAATCCCTGGATCTGGAAAAGATTGGGTGATTGATCAAGGATTACTTAAATGAAATTTTGATCCAAGAGGAATCATTTGCCGAGCTGACGACATTAAACAAAGCGTTTTATGGGAGACAACCCGTAGTTATCAGTGTGGTTTGATTTAGTGTGCTTAAGAGTTATGATAATTAGTGTGTATTGTGTTTACTTTAGTGTGGATTAATCAGTTTGATTGATGATTTGTAGATGTTTGGATTATTAGTGGTTTTATTTGATTTTTATGTGTCATGAGGGGAGTGATTTCTTAGCTTCTTATTATAGTTAGACTTGTATGTTCTCTTGTAGTAGTTGGATTGACAAGTCCACTACAACTCGAGTCTCACCTGGAGTTGAGTTTTAGAAGAGATATTATGAATTTTAACAGTGACAGTCCCATCTCAATTTTTTTACTTCTTTTCTCTGACTTTGTTTTCATTTGATAGGAGTAGCTAACCTATTTGATGAGTACACTATCCTTATAGTTGTTAGTGGTGCTTAATTAAAAGGATGAGGTGATGCCTGAGATTGGTGACCAAGAGAGAGCCATTATATCAGGGATAATATTATATTTGAGATTAGAATCTATAAAATCATTTATAAGTACCCAATATATTTGTGTAGTGATTCTGTTGGAAACTGGAAGTATGTTAGTGAGATGCAATGAGTTAAAGGAAGAATTGACCTCATTTATCATGTGTGTTTGCATTCGTGTTACAATAATATATACGACTTGAAGAACATTTTTATATTACTATGTTGATACGTGTTATGCTAGTTAGAATTTTGTTTAGTTAATTCCATTCTGACATATTTATTTTAGATTTACTTTCTACTAAATATTTTCTATCCTGATAAATAATTGCAGATGTTTTTTATAGACATTTTTGGTAGATAGAATTTCTAAACTGTTTTTCTTCCTACTTATGTCTTCTGTACTAAATGCTATAAAAGTTAAAAATCAAGTTTTGGGGTAGGAAGAAAAATAAAATTTTAAAGTGAGTATATTTCCTTTTAGTTTAATATTATTGCAAGAATTTATTGCAAGAATGTTTTAGAATGTTTTAGGCTAGATTTACTTTCTCCTGCAGTCATTATATCCTGTTATGAATGTATTTGAATTTGATGTTGTAGTAGTAAGTAGATTCAACTTTTACTTTTTCTTCATTCTACATTTTAGGAAATTAATTGCAAAATATTTTAAAATTTAAGTTTGGGGGGAAGAAAAATTTCTTTTAAGAGAAAGAAACTAAATTTTATTTGTCCTCAATTAGCTATATTTTCAAAATTTAATTTGACATGATCTTCAGTATAAGAGGCTAACTTTAGATAATTATATTTGTGTTTCTAAATATATATTAGAATTAAGTAAAAGTTTTCAATAATGAAAGTTAATTATAGAGTTAAGATGTTTGTTACGAAAGGATAAGACTGTGTTTTTTCTATTTAAAGTAAAGAAAATTATATTTTTGAAGTATTAAGAATCTTAGAGTTTCATGTAAGAAGAAAAGAATGAGACTTTATGAAAAATCTTCAAAGCTAATACAAATTTATAAAGTGAAGGAATGTGAAAAGTTTTTAACTTGAAGAAGAGGATAGTGAAGTTTAAAATCATTAAAAGCTATCCAGATATAGTAATCCTCACATGAAAAAAAAAGGATTGAAAATGATCCTGAAAGAAAAGAAAAAGAAAACCTAAAAGCAAAAGAAAAGAAAAAGAAAAATAAAAAGAAAAGAAAACTATGTGAGGAGAAGCTTGAGGAGATGCCTAATCAAAAATTGGCTTTACTTGCATCAACTTGAGGAATAAGGCTTTATTACATTTTCTAAACTTGTATTTGAGTATTAGCACCCTTACTAATAAAGATCTCATGAAGTTCTTTTTCATATAAATATTCTAAGTAACTTTAATATGAAGAATTGCAATTCTTCTTGAAATAAATAGAGAATCAGAAATCTTAGACTTGACTACTAAGTATTCTTACACTTTTAGTTTTGACTTACGTTGTTAAAAATTTTTCTTAAGTTTTGCTATTATATTTAGTAGACCAAATTATAGAAATTTAGAAGTTAAATTCTGTACCATAAGCCATATTTTTATATAGTAAAAGTGTTACTTGATGACAAGTAACATTTAAGTTTGAGAGACTTTGATGCACCAAAAATATATGCATTTTTAGAGCTATATTTTATACTCATTTTTGGTGATATTACACTTTAAGAGAAGATATTTTGTATATTTTTGGTTTCAGGTATAGAAAATGTATTTCTGGAGAAAAAGAATATTTTTGGAGAAAAAGAAAAAAAAAACGGTGCAATTTTGAGCAAAAACGAGCAAGAAAGAAAATTATGTCCTGACACATTTCAATATGTATTTCTATGCTTAATCTCTTTTACAATTCTTGCATATTTTTGA